ACTAGGACATAGAGATTCTCCATTAATATATCCTCCCCCAAGGGATGTCTCTGTCCGAACCACATGCTTGCTCCTCCGCACCTGTCGGCTTTCCCCCAGCCCTTAGTTTAAAAACTAAAGACTCTACAGTCTTTTTAATCTTAAGTGCCAGCAATCTGGTTCCATTTTGGTTTAGGTGGAGCCCATCCTTCCTGTATAGGCTCCTCCTTTCCTAAAAGTTTCCCCAGTTCCTAATAAATCTAAACCCCTCCTCCCTACACCATTATCTCATCCACGCATTGAGATCCTGCAGCTTTGCCTGTCTAACTGGTCCTGTGCGTGGAACTGGGAGCATCTCAGAGAATGCTACCATGGAGGTCCTGGGCTTCAAACCAGCAGCCTAAATTTGGCCTCCAGGACGTCTCTCCTATCCTTCCCTATCTCATTGGTACCTTCATGTACCATGACCACCGGCTCCTTCCCAGCACTACACATAAGTCTGTCTAGATGTCTTGAGAGATCTGCAACCTTCGCACCAGGCAGACAAGTCACCATATGGTTCTCCCGGTCATCGCAAACCCAGCTATCTATGTTTCTAATGATCGAATCGCCCATTACTAATACCCGTCTCTTCCTAATAGCTGGAGTTCCCTCCCCCGGAGAGGTATCCTCAGTGCGAGAGGAAACCACAACATTATCTGGAGGGAGGGTCCCAAGTATGGAATCATTCCCCTCTGCTCCAGTTGGATGTTCTCCTTCCCTGGGACTTTCATCCTCCTCAACAGCACAGAGGCTGTCAGACCGGGGGTGGGACTGTTCTACTGTGTCCTGGAGAGTCTCATCTGTGTACCTCTCTATCTCCCTCAGCTCCACCAGCTCCGCCACCCTCAGCTCCACCAGCTCCGCCACCTGTACACGGTCTCTGAGGTCCAGGGGCTCCTTGCACCGGATGCACACATACGCCACCTGCCCATAGGGCAGATAATCATACATGCTGCATTGGGTGCAATAAACTGGATAGTCCCCACTCTGTTGCTGGACTTCTGCCTGCATTTTCTTTTTACTCCTGCAGTTGGGTCCTGTGTTGTTGTTTTGTTTCTATCAAGGGGGTGTTTGGGGCTTTTAAGTTTAAAGGATGTTGAGTTCTAGCCCCCACTCACACTCCACCTGTAAACTTCCTCGCAAAACTCCGGTTAGCCGCTCCTGTTCGCTAGCTCCTCTGGTTGCTTAGAAGCGGGCTTTTTAAAGCCCTGGTCTCCCTGAGTAGCCCCGCTCCCTGGCTAAGGGTTGATGGGTGCTAAAAGGCGTAGGGATCACAGCCTCAGTAAGATCAGTGATATACCCCTCCCAATCGCTCCCGTCCTGCTACATCCCTTTACCATGACTCCCTTCACTCTCCCTGTCCTGCCGGGTAGTTCCTTCAATTTATTTGTATTCTCTTGCAGTCCACCTCTCCTCTGCCCCCGACTGGGAGGAGCGGCCCTTCCCCGACACGGAGCAAAAGACAGAGAAATAAAACCCAGAGTCCAACTGCAATGGCCTCAGCAAGTCCATCACAGAAAATGCAAGAAGAAGCCACGTGCTCCATCTGCCTGGAGTATCTGACGGAGCCGGTGACCATAGACTGTGGGCACAACTTCTGCCGAGCCTGCATCACCCAGTACAGTGAGCACGGGGAGCCTGTATCGGGCACCACGTTCCCCTGTCCTGAGTGCCGGATGCCATTTGAGAAAAGGAAATTCCGGTCCAACAGGAAGCTGGCCAATATTGTAGACAACATCAAACAACTGAGGTTAAAGCCAGGGAAAGGACAGAAGGAGAATCTGTGTGAGCAACACCAGGAAAAACTCAAACTCTTCTGTGAGGAGGATGGAGAAGCCATCTGTGTGGTTTGCAGGGAGTCCCGGGACCACCGAGATCACACTACGCTCCCCGTGGAGGAGGCTGCCCACGACTACAAGGTGGGGAATTACTACTGCTCGGGGTTCATTAAGCTCCTTTAGGGACCTGTTGTGCTCCTCCACAGAGATGGCTGCTGGGATCAGTGCTGGAGTGCACCAAACCCCTAGGGTGCCAGTAGTGTGCCCGGTGAACCGTGACTCCGAGGCAAGCACGGTAGGTGCTTCAGCAGTCCTGGCGGGCTCCAGCCACCCCCCAGAGGCGAGGGGAAGGGTGTTTGCCAGGCATGGCAGGAATTACTCCAGGTACAGAGGCTTGCAGAGCTCCAGTTCTAGGTGAGCAATAGCCGTTCCCGTTTGGGTCCCTGGGGCCATCTAACTCTTCAGCCCTAGTGCCTGCGGTGCCCCCTCACTAGTCAAGCAAACAGGAACTGGTGGGATTCACTTAGTGTCTCTCATTGGGGCCCTTCTGCATTGGCTCCTGCCCCGCTACTGCTGCTGCCCCAATAAGCCCCCCACGGACGTGCCCCCCGCTGTTCTGACGGGATCTCCCACCCTAGTCCACACGCAGCTCCGTGAACCTGGGGCTTCCTCTGTGCATCTGGCTTCTCTGTAGCTCCTGGCTCACCATCCAGCCGTGGCTTCCCAAACAGAGCCCAGCCACCTCCTGGTCCAGGGCCCCCTGCTTACCCGGAAGGGGAGAGGCGTGTGAAGAGGGGAGGGGGCTGATGGGAGTTGAATCCCCCTGCTTTGCAGGTTAGTCACACAGCTCTCAACCAGCCATGGTCCAAAGGGACTTGGATAGCAATAGACAAACAAAATAGGGGCACAGTTATCTGAAGAGGGACTTAAAATCCTGGGGGGGGGGGGGGTTCATGCCCCTTCCCAGGATCTTGGAGGCTGCAGGGTTCACTCTGCCCCTCCTGGGCTCAGGGAAACTGAGGCTTCAGTCCTCACAGCCAAGGATCAGGAGGCTGCTAATGGGGTTCACTCCCCACTCCCAGATTCAGGGGGGCTGCAGTGTTCACTCCCGTCCTGGGTTCACAATGGCTGTTGGTTGCACACAATGCTCCTGCAGGTGAAACTCCAGGCAGCCCTGGGCCCTCTGCTGATGGAGCTGGAGGAGGCCCTGGCACTGACATCCGAAGAGGAGAAGAAATCCATAGAGTGGCAGGTGGGTGTCTGGGTTTATCTTTCCCTGCGCCCTTCCCCCCGAAGCGTTCCCAGGGATGTGGGGCCGTAACGCTGCAGGCTGAGGTTATATCCTGCTCTGGCTGTTTTCCCCAGGCTGGTGCCATGGTACCAGGGGCGGGAAATGTCTCTGGTGGGGATCCCAGTGCAGCAACCCTGGGAGGACAAGTCTTGGCCCATGGGCAGCAGCACAAACCCACCCCAGGGCTCCCCATACACCCAATCCCCACTCACTTTGCAGCCCCCGCCCCCCCACTGTCCTGTACACCCCCCCCCCACCACACACACCGTCCTGTACACACAGACCCACTGACTCCTCATGCAGCCAGACCTGCCCCCAGAGCAGCCAGCTCAGGGACTGTGGGGGTTCAAACCCTTCTCAAGGGTAGGCAGGGAACACGCCAAGTTTGCAGAGAAATCCCCTCTGATTGGCTGTCTTTCCCTGCCTGATAGCAAAGGGCAGACAATCAGAGCTATGAAGATTTTTGATCAACAATCTAGTCGCTCAGCCTGTGTAGCAGGGAGATTTCCGGCTTCCTGGCTGTGCAAAGAAATGGCTGTCCTTGCCCAGTTCCCTCATGTAACACTGCCACCATGTGCTGCCCCTCAGCCTTGTACCCCTACCCCATGTGCTGGCATCTCTTCCCCCACCCATGTACCATCACTTCTTTGTGTTGGCCAGTATCCCACTCATGTACCACTATCTGCATGTGCTAACCCCTGTCCTCCCCCGATCCATCCCCCCACCTAGCCCGTGGGTCCCAGATCCTCCTTCTGGGGGACACTGGGTCGGGGAGAGGCCATATGCTTCCACCCCTGCTTCACTGTTCAAGGGGTCACCAAGGTTGGCCACTGCTTGTCCCCAAGCCAGCAAGGTCACCATGATCGACAGGAGCAGATCACAGCCCTCCCATCCTGCCACTCAGACCCCCTGCCCACAGTGCAGGAGAGGGGTTGGGGTGGGCGTATTGCGGCAGAGGTTGGGAGTGTGACCCCGTTACATTTTGCCAGATGGACATTTTTCAGATCCTTTACCATGATCCATTACTCTAAAGTCTCCTCTGGGTTCGTGATCTGTACACCCCATGACCAGCTCTCTGATCTGTGAGGCAGACTCAGCCCAGCGCTGGCTGGGGGGCTTTGTTCCCGCTCCATTGTTTACTAAAGGGCAAAGTGGAGAATCGGAGACAGTCGATCACACGTGAATTTAAGAAACTGCACCAGGTTCTGAGTGAGGAAGAGCAGCTGCTCCTGCGGAGACTGGCGGCGGAGGAGAGGGAGACACTGCAGAGACTACAGGACAATATAACAAAGCTCTCGGAGCAGAGCACCACTCTGATCAGTCTCATCACAGAGCTACAGGAGAAGTGTCTGCAACCGGCCGCTGAGCTGCTGCAGGTGAGACTGTTAACAACCTCCCCCTCATCCATCCTGCAGCACCAAACCCTCTGGGCAGTGACCAGATCCCAGGAATTGTGACCAATCCTATTTCCAGGGCCTGCTCTGACAGTTTCCCAACATAAACAGAAGCCCAGGTCCTGTCAGAGCCGACATGAGCCACGTTCAGGGCCGGCTCTAGGATTTTTGCCGCCCAAAGCAAAAACAATTTTGGCCGTCCCCCCCCTCCCCCATTTTTTAATTACCCCACCCCAGGCCCCACCTCAACTCCACCCCTTCCCCAAATC